GAAAAATGTTGGATTTTATACCTGGATTATTGAGCATGGACTTTGTTAAGTGCAGGATCATTTCTTACCTTACTAGTTGTTTAGTATATCCCACACTTTGGTCACGTGCGCCTCCTCATCCTCCTCCCTGCTCTGCACCGTGGGACAACAAGCGCTGCTCTAAGTTTTTGGCCACACTTAGAAAAAACTGCCTAATATTTAGGCCTTTGTCACTGACTTAGAAACAAGATGCTCTCAATCCTCCTGCTCAGTTCAGAGAAGCGTCCTGGTCGCTCCGACATCGCTTCAAACCCTCTGACTGCAGACAAACAGCTCGATGGAGCGAGAGCATCGTCTCTTTGTTGCAGTTCAGTGAACGTTCAGATAACTCCTGCAGAGATTCACACATCAGATTGCTCACAAAAGCGCAGGAACTTATGCGCAGTGCAAAACGTTTACCGTAATTATATTTTTGTGTTTTTTAATAAAATTGCCCACGACGTTGAACTTTTAGGGGCGGAGATTTTTTTCAGAGTAGAAGCAGAAATGCGAAGGGACAGCTCTGATGTGATACTAGGAAGCTTGTTATGTCTAAAATGAGTGTTTATGTAATTATTTTCAGATTACAGATCCAATATAGGTTTTATTGTTTCATGGCAGTCAAATTTGTTCATAAATTTATTATTAGGCCTGAGAGTACTGGATCCATGGCAAACAGTTATCGGAATGCACCCTTCAAAATAAGAGAGTTCCTGGACCTTGTTCCAGCAGGATCCGGCTCAAATTAAGCCCTGAGTTTAAGTCATTCCTCAGCTGCTTCCTGAAACAGCTCATGGCCATTTTACCCACAATGCAACATTCCTAAAATGGAAGGCTCAGCTGGCAGAGTAGCAGTTGAGTACTGCAGTAAATTAAAAACTTTAAAATGGTAAAAAAAAAATTGTAAAACCAAAAGATGCTGAACTGAGCGTCAATCATGATCTGAAGATGACATCATCAGAACTGTTTTCATACAAACTGCGGTTCAGACAGAACCAGAACCCGTCCTACCCAGAGTGACAGAGGGAACCTTGTTGTTGACAGGCAGGATGGTGACGTTCAAGTCATAAACAGGAAGTGTCCCGTGGAGAGGAACAGGTGGGGCGTCTCCATGGCAACAGCCATCCGTTCCTCCTGCCTCGCTGTCAGAGATGATGAAGGTGATGGTGTCGACCACGGGGTCCGGCCCAATCTCTGCACCTGAACACACCCAATATGCTGCGTTCAGAGACGACACGTCACAAAACCAGACTGCAGCTGATTTCTCCCATGCACCGATCGCAGCCTGGACCCACCTGAGTGGACGTAGTAGACATGACCCTGCAGCAGGTCCTGCTGGGAGAACTTGTCCGCCATCAGTCCGGATCTCTGCAGCTCCCCTCTGCCGGGGCTTCGTGCCAACATGTAGGTCAGTCTGGAGTCGTCACTGTCCCGGTCAGTAGCTGACAGGTAGTCCACCGTCACCTGGACCCGCCCCCCCTCCTCACAGCTCAGCTGAGCCCTCAGACCTCCACCCAGCTGGGGAGGCTCATCGTTTACCGGAAAGACCTGAGGACATGGGGAGCATTTGATGAACCATTTAGGACTTTGAGGAACCTGAAGCAGCTCATTTCAGCAGCATATGCACTTGTACAAATTTTCATATCTGATGTTTATTTTTATTGTTTACGAAACAAAAAGCAACAAAACATCATTTATTTTAACCACACTTTTAAAACTGAGGTTCTGCATGTCCAACAGCTTGCCGTAGTCCTCAACAGTCATCTGACAGGTCAAAGGTCTCAAAGGTTAAAGGAAACGCTACATCCAGGTCAAACACTCGACACTGAAAAGACCAGTGATGCTTGATGATGTCACAATGATGTCACAGTGATGTCACAACTCACCTGAATATGCAGCACAACGTCAGCAGAGTTCAAACCGTCCAGCACCTCCAGACCCACCTTGTCCTCCGTGGTCTCCGAGTCATCGTGGACATATCTGCAACACAGGAAGTAAGGCAGGACAGTCCCATTTAAGAAAGAGTCAGAGACATGAGGACACGGTGAAGCAATGAGGACACAACAGAAGGTCCAACAAGCAGTACAGAAGGACATGATGGACCTCCTGACTCACATAGTCTCACCTGAGCCGTAGTCCTCTCAGGTCTGGCAACAAGAACTGGTCTCCCTGCAGCAGAACTCGTCCCTGCAGCTCTAACCGACCATGACGGACCATACTCTGAACCTTCACTCTCAGCAACTCTTCAGGACTATCCCGATCCTGGACCAGGAGGTGCTCCTCGGTCACAAAGGCCGCTCCACCTTCCTCCACCCGCAGCACGTTGGTGAAAGCCTGAGGAGCACAGAGACGATGGTTTCAGTCCTCCAGACCAGCAACGTTTCATCCTCTCAGATCTTGGGCTCAGGGGGATTGACCTCTGACCTCAGGGGCCTGGTTGTCCACAGGGGTCACGGTGATGTTGAAGACCAGGCCAGACACAATTCCCCCAGTGGGGTCGCTCACCGAGAAGACAAACTGGACAAACAGAGGGTCAGGTCCGATGTCCTCTACAGGAGGCATGAAGGCCACCTTCATGTGTGTCACTGCATGCTGCAGGGACAGAGGAGGGGGTACTGTCATCACCAAGTCCCATGACCACCAAGACCAGAAGACCCACCAAGACCAGAACAGTTGAGGGCGAACAAACGAAAACTAAAAGGACTTTATTCCCTCTGAGGAGGTGCTGGATCGAGTGAAACCAGCCATCTGCAGAATGACCTGATCAGGAGGTTCTGAAGATGTTGGTGGGTTCTGCACACCTGAGTGAAGGATTTTAACACTGGAACCATGTGGTCCTTCTTCATGGCGCTGGTACTGTCGGTGTAGAACAGACGTCCTGCGTCCATCAGTCTGACATGAAACAGAGAAAAACAAAGTTCTGAGGTTCTGCTCCTGCTCCCACAGACCCGTCCTGGACCCGTGCCATTCTGTACCCTGGTCTGTGCGGGCTGAAGCAGGGCTGAGTGATGACGAAGGTCAGGTCAGCTTCTGGGTTCTCTCTGTCTGTGAAGTGCAGCTGGTTCTGTGTGAGGTAAACCACCTCAGTCTCCTTCACCACCAGAGACCGGGTGGTGCCGGGAACCTCCACAGGCAGCTGGTCCTTCACCGGGAATACATGGACCACCACTGTCTGAAGATGGAGAGGACAGGAAGTCTCAGAGACAACAGAAACATCACTTCCTCCTGATCAGGGTTTGGGTTCATCTGACTCACGTATGGCTGCGACAGGTTGGGCGGCTGGTGGCTGTCTGACAGCATGAAGTCGAAGGAGTCCTCGAACACCTCATCTCCTGAGTGCTGGTAGAAGATCTGACCCTGGATCAGCTCTCTCTGCAGGAAGCTGTCCACTGGTACAGCTGAGGGGACAGAAATCAGGTCTGCTCACATGGAAATGATCATTTTTCTTAAATGTTTCGATGAGTTGGTAAATAAATCAACATCTGCACAATGAACGAGGACAATGTCTCCAGATGTGGACAGGTAAATACTGTTTTCCTTGAAAATAATATTTCACTCTGTAGATTGATGGACCCCAGATGACCTTTGACCCTTCCCAGATTAACAGGCAGTAACAACTGTTTTTCACAGGTCATTGCTGACGTCTTTCTGCTTTGGCGTTGTGCTAACCCTAGCTGTAAGAGTGGACAGTTTAAGTGCTGAAATCATCCCACAGCCTCACCTGTCTTGTGGGCGGAGCTCTTCCGTACCAGCTGCCCTGCCCGGGGAGCGGAGACTGTCCGATACAGGATGTGGTCATCGCTGGAGTCCAGGTCGGAGGCCAGCAGCATGTACTCCTGGAGCCGCACAGCCCCGCCCTCCTGCACCTCCACGGCCACATTGTTGATGAGGAAAGGCGGGGAGTCATCCTTCGGCAGAACGTTGATGGGGAACCTGTGACGGATGCTGTGGCGGCCGTCGCTGATGCGGAAGATGATGTGGTCACGGGTGGAGTCGCTGTCAAAGTGGTGATAAACAACCACGCCCTCCTGCAGGTCCTTCACACGAAACATGAAGGCCTTCCCACCTGGAGGCAGCACAGAGGGTTCAGTTTCACTGGGATCCTTCAGGAACCTGAACAGGTGAGGGGAGCTCCTGCCCAGAGTCGGAGCGTCTCCACTTCAGGAACTTAAATGAATGAATCGAGGAACAAATGATCCAAAGAACCCGATAGACTAAGAAATGCTTCACGAATGAAATAGTTTCCTGTTTTACAGATTTAAGCCAAATGTCAACTTTAAATTTAAAACAAAGCTTTAAAGTTTCCTCTAACAAACCAGATTAATCTGCTCTCAGTTCTGACCCTCACAGGAACTTTTAAAATATAAATAACTATCAAAATAACTATAAAAGTAAAAACATTCTGCTTTGTGCTTCAAAACCTCTCAAACTTCAGAGATTTATTTTAATCGACGAAACAAATAAAATCACTTGAATTGTTTCCATCAGGTGAAATCAAGCATGGACATTTATTTCCGTGCTGTTCTCACACGTTGCAGCTGAAATTTGAAGACATTTGAAGTGTTTCTCAGCTCGTCACATTTAAATAATTTAGTCAGATACATGTTGTCTGCAGTGAACTGAGGGGAAGCAGTTCGTTTGTCTCCTGAACATGAGAACTTGTTTGTCCCTCATGAAGCCAACGTCTCTTTTGTCCATCTGTCCACAACACGTCAACATGTGCTGTTATCGGTGGACGCTTTCCAGACAAAACTTCACACTTTGATTCAATTACTGTCTGCAGCACGTGCACACTCTTCCTGCCATAGCCGCTTGGAAATAACAGGTTTGTGTTGGTGCCTGGAGGCACGGCTCAGTTCGGCTCGGCTTGGGCCGAGTACACCGGTGGGTAAAATGTGGCGCCTTTCCCGGCGGCCGCCCGGCTGCCAGGACGGGGACATCCTGTCTCCATGAGAGTGCCAGAAAGACAGAAGGCCAAGGTCAGCAGACAGATTGAGAGACGAGCAATTGCAAGCCCAAACCTCATTAACGACGGTACCAAGGGGAACCTGCTCACAGTCCAAGTGATGGAAACAACTTCGTAATTGGGCCCAAAGGTGTCACTGGGCAACAGGCCCATAAAGAAAGAAACGGGACATGCTGTGAGTGTGTGTGGGACAGGCAGCACTCCATTTGGCTGAAGGCGTTGGACTGGGCCTGCAGTGACTGTCCCAAGTCTCCACTGTGAGGGTCAGTGTGATCCTCTGAGATGCAACATCCTGCAGGATGCACCAGCCAAACCTAAGCTGCCGATGAAGACAAGTCCACCTCCAGGAGGACGAAGAGGCGTAACAAAACTCGACTGAGTGGAATGAAAGTTTTAACAAACATCCAAGTAAATTATAGTCCTTGGTAGAAGATGATCTGCAGCAGGTTTCTGATGTTTGCTGAGACACAAAAAGTTAGTTGTGTTTTACAATCAGGGCATTACAGTCAGGGCGTTACAGTCAGGGTGTTACAGTCAGGGTGTTACAGTTAGGGTGTTACAGACAGTCAGGGTGTTACAGTAAGGGTGTTATAGTCAAGGTGTTACAGTCAGGGTGTTACAGTCAAGGTGTTACAGTCAAGGTGTTACAGTCAAGGGATGACGATTGAGGTGTGACAGTTAAGGTGTTACAGTCAGGGTGTTAAAGTCAATGTGTTAAAAGTCAGGTGTTACAGTCAGGGTGTTACAGTTAGGGTGTTACAGTCAGGGTGTTACAGTCAAGGTGTTACAGTCAGGGCATTACAGTCAGGGTGTTACAGTCAAGGTGTTACAGTCAAGGGATGACGATCGAGGTGTGACAGTCAAGGTGTGATAATGAAGGCATTAAAGTCAAGGTGTTAAAGTCAATGTGTTAAAAGTCAGGGTGTTACAGTCAGGGTGTTACAGTCAAGGTGTTACAGTCAGGGTGTTACAGTCAGGGCATTAAAAACAAAATGTTACTGTCAAGGTGTTAAAATGAAAGTGTGACAGTCAGGGTGTTATAGTTAAGGTGTTACACTTAGGACATTTCATTCAAGGTGTTAAATTCAATGTGTTCAGGATGTTACAGTCAGGATGTTACAGTCAGGATGTTACAGTCAGGGTGCTACAGTCTTCTGCTTAGTTTCTCCAATGTAGAGGTCTGGACAGTCCTCGCTGCACTGGACCGCATACACTACACCACTCTGTTTGTGTATGGGTGTCTTGTCCTTAGGGTGGACCAGCCTCTGTCTGAGAGTCCTGCTGGGTTTGAAATGTACTGGGATGTTGTGTTTGTTGAAGATCCTTCTGAATTTCTCTGATACTCCAGCAACATAAGGGATGACGATGTTTTTACGTCTGTTGTTCTCCTTTTTCTGTTTATTGGTGTGTTTTGTAGATTTCCTCTCTGACTTGACAAAAGCCCAGTTAGGATATCCACATGTTTGAAGAGCTTCTTGAACGTGTTTCAGTTCCTTTTCCTTCCCTTCTGTCTTTGTGGGGACGCATTCGGCCCGATGTTGTAAAGTTCTGATGACAGAGAGTTTGTGTTCCAGTGGATGGTGGGAGTCAAACAGAAGATACTGGTCTGTGTGGGTTGGTTTTCTGTAAACTTCAATGTTGAGGCTGTCCTCTCTCTCCATCTGAACCAAACAGTCCAAAAAAGGCAGCTTGTTGTCATTTGCATCTTCTCTGGTGAACTTGATGTTGTTATCGACCGAGTTAATGTGTCTGGTAAACGCTTCTACTTCCTTGGCTTGGATTTTGACCCAGGTGTCATCCACATAACGGAACCAATGGCTTGGCGTTGTTCCCTCATATGAGTGTAGGGTTCTCTGTTCCACTTCCTCCATGTAGAGATTGGCAACAATGGGTGACACTGGAGATCCCATGGCACAGCCGTGCTTCTGTCTGTAAAAACTGTCATTGAACTTGAAAGAAGTGGTGGAGAGGCAGAGATCCAACAGGGTGCAGATCTGGTCTGGGGTCAAGTTGGTCCTGTTGATTAAGTCCTTTTCTTGTAGAAGTTGTTTTCTGACGGTTTCTACTGCTTCAGAGATGGGTATGCAAGTGAAAAGAGAAGTCACATCATACGATACAAGGGTTTCTCCTGGGGTTAGTTTCAAGTGTTGAACTTTGTTAGCAAAATCAATGGAGTTCTTTATGTGATGAGGTGTGTTTCCAACAAGAGGAGCTAAAATACCAGCCAGATGTTTAGCAATATTGTATGTCACTGAGTTCATGCTGCTGACGATGGGTCTGAGTGGTGTTCCTTCTTTGTGTATTTTTGGGAGTCCATAAAGACAGGGAGTGGCTTCCCCTGGGTACAATCTATGGTACAACAATCGATTGATTGTTTTCTCCTTTTCAAGTTTTTGCAGGTAATCTGTGACTTTCTTTTTGTAGGCACTGGTTGGGTCCCTCTTCAGGGTCTCGTAGGTGTTACGGTCGCTCAGTAGTGTAGTTATTTTTTCCCGGTAATCAGAAGTGTTGAGGACTACTGTGCATCTTCCTTTATCAGCTGGTAAAATGGTGATGTTTTGGTCCTGGCTGAGTGATGTTACAGCTTTCCTTTCGTGTGGTGTGAGGTTTGAAGGAGGCGGTTTGGCACTGGAGAGGGTTGCTGATATTTCCATTCTGAGCTGTTCTGCCTCTCCTTCCGTCAAGTTGTTGTTCCTAATCGCGGATTCAGTGGCCGTGATTAGTTCCACAACAGGTATTTCTTGAGGGGAGATGGCAAAGTTTAGTCCTTTTGTCAGCACATCTTTCTCAGGTTGTGTCAAGGTCCTGTTAGACAAATTTCTAACCCACTGGTCCTGAAAATTTGAGTTGGCGACAAACTCCTGATCTTGACTGATGGTTTGTGATGAGAAAACAGCTCTGTTGTAATTTTAGAAACTTACTTTTTGACGTTCCTTGTTCTTTTGATGCTGTGATAACTGGGCATTTTCAACAAAACAAGAAACTTCTCGCATGAGAAGCGAAACGTCTTCTGTTACAAATAAAGTCCAGTTGTTTTTGTCTAGAACGTTTTTGAATTTACAGTCAGGATGTTACAGCTTACAAATGAATAATTGTATTTAAAAGCATCACAGGGTCAAGAACGGGTGTTAGCAGAAATTGTTTCAGCTAGTCTGGTTGGTTTAGGTGAAAATCCTCCCACACACCACATCTTTTATTAAAGTAAAGCGTTTAAAATTCTTCAGCGTTTTCTGGAGTCCATATAACAGTAAATATTATGTCTTGAAATAAAAACTGACGCTTGACATCATGATCAGAGTTAATTCATAGAAGCATCTTCAAAGTGAAGAAGTGTCGTCTGCTCAGCCTCTTGTCCTCGCTTCTGTCTGCATCAAATCTGTTCAGAACCAGTGTTCGGGTCGCTTGAATCCTCCTCTGTTGACCTCTGAGGCCTCAGAGGTCAACTTGACCCAGAGCCAGTAGGACGGCTGCAGGGAAAACTGGGACCGAGCCATGAAGGATGGTGCAGGTGGTGGTTTTACCAGCCTGGGTCGGTTCCACAGCCTACCATCAAACAGAACCGAACCACAGATTGTTCAGACTTCTTTATGTTTTGACCATCAGCTAAACCCCCTGCCCCCCACCTCCACCACCCTAGGGCTCCTGCCACCCCTCCTCACCCCGTCCCCCCTGCCGGCTGGTAAAAACCTGTTTGGGGACAGTGCATCTGCTCCGTGTGCATGCCGCCATGAAATGGCAGCAGCAGCTCCAATCTGCTGCTCACTGCCACCGCGCAGGCACGAAGGCCGGCCTCACGATGCGGCGGGCTGGAAGGGACGGGCGAGGATGTGTGGGGGGGGCGGTGGCCCCTGGCGAAGTGGCCCCCGTTTACACCTGATTAGGAAACACATGAAGGAACAGCAGACATATGTTTCCTGAAACACACGGCGAGCAGGAGGAGGAAAAAGACCAGAGTTCCTCCCGACTGGCAGAACTGGACTAAAGGAGGAGGAGGAGTGTTCTTCATCCAGGAGGCTGCAAGGTTTTTGACGTTCATGTGAGGAACTGTTCTGCTTCAAACAGACCGACTGCAGAACCAACAGTCATTAGAATCTCAGGAACAACTTTAAAAAAAACTAGATCTAAACCCGAAGCTTCAAAAGAAAACACTCAAATGTTTCTGTTCAGTGCCTGAGATGACTTCTCTTGAGACTTGGTGCTCTAGAAAAAAAACTGAATTGAATTGAATTCAAACCAACAGGAAATAAATGTTTTTAAGTATGAAATACTTGTTTCCGTTTCTATACTTTTATTGTGAAGGGTACAGCTTCCTGTTTAAATTCTAATATTAATAAAATAATTAAATCAGAACAGGAATTATTCGTTAAACATCACCTGCGGTTTTGTTTCACACAAATAAAAAACTAAAAATTTTAACAGTGAAGTTTCAGGAGACACGGTGGCTCAGTTGGAAGAGCTACTGTCTGTAAGCAAGAAGGTCGCCAGATCAAATCCCGGCCAGGGGCCTTTCTGAGTGCAGTGTGCATGTTCTCTTCATGCTGCGTGGGTTTACTCCAGTTTCCTCCCACAGATCAAAAACATGCATGTTAGAATTGTCCCTAGTTGTCCCTGTGATGGACTGAGACCTGTCCAGGTGTCCCTGTGACCTCTAGCAATCCCCAGCAGGGGGCGCTGTTTTGCCTCTTCTCACACACG